GATCTTCTGTTGCTCTGTTCTACTCTCATTTTGTGACTGTGCATTTGACTTAAGGGTTTAAGCTAAATTTTGAAACTTTATGTACAGTCATTGATTAACCTTAGCTGGATCCAGAGCATAGTTTATTACTTTCTGTTTAAGAGGAAAAAAAAAAAAAAGCACAGCCTTTTACTTACCCCGAATTATGGATCTCTTAGTTTACCAGGCATTCAAGTTTTTTATTGATACATGTTACATATTTATGGGGTACATGTAATATTTTGTTACATGCATAGAATGTGTAATGATCAAGTCAGGGTATTTGGGGTGTCCATCATCTTGAATATTTATCATTTATCATGTGTTGGAACATTTCAAGTTCTCTCTTTTAGCTATTTTGAAATACACACTACATTGTTGCTAACTATAGTCACCCCAGTCTGCTACTGAGCATTAGAACTTATACTTTCTATCTATCTCTATGTTTGTACCCATTGACCAACCTCTCTTCCCTCCCCTACTCCACTCTCACCCACATACCCTTCCCAGTCTCTGGTATCTATCATTCTACTCTCTACCTCAATGAGTGAGCACAGGTGAAATTTACATTTCTGTACCTGGCTTATTTCTCTGCTTAATGTAATGACCTCTAGTTCCATCCATGTTGTTTAAAATAAAAGGATCCATTCTTTTTTATGGTTAAATAATACTCCATTGTGTATATATACCACATTTTTTAAATCCATTCTTCTATTGATGGACACTTAGGTTGATTCCATATCTTTGCTATTGTGAATAGTGCTGCAATAAATATGCAAGTGCAGGTATCCCTTTGATATACTGATTCGTTTTCCTTTGAATAAATGCCCAGTAGCGGGACTGCTGGATCGTATGTTAGTTCTATTTTTAGTTTTTTGAGTAATCTCCATACTGTTTTTCATAGTGGCTGTACTAATTTACATTCCTACCAACAGTGTATAAGGGTTCCCTTTTCTCCACATCCTCATCAGCATCTGTTATCGTTTGGCTTTTTAATTATAGACACTCTGAGGTAAGATGATATCTTATTTTGATTTTTGATTTTCATTTCCCTGACGATTCATGATGTTGAGCATTTTTTCATGTACTTATTGACCATTTGTGTGTTTTCTTTTGAGAAATGACTCTTCATGCTCTTTGCCCACTTTTTAATGGGATTATTTGGTTTTTTACTGTTGGAGTTGCTTGTATATTCTCGATATTCGTCCCCCGTTGGATGAATAGTTTGCAAATATTTTTTTCCATTCACAGGTTGTGTCTTTACCTTGTTGTTCATTTATGAAGGATAACTTTGCTGGGTATTGTATTCTTAGCTGGAAGTTTTTTCTCTCAGCACTTTGAATATATCATCCCATTCTCTTCTGGCCTGTAAGGTTTCTGCTGAGAAATCCTTCATTAGTCTGATGGGGGTTCTTTTATAAGTGACTGGATGCTTTTCTCTTCCTCTTTTTAGAATTTTCCCTTTGCCTATAACTTTTTGCAGTTGCACTATAATGTCCCACAGAGAAAATCTTTTTGAATTGTGTCTGTTTGAGGCTCTTTGAGCCTCGTGTATCTGGATGTCTAAATCTCCTGCTAGACCTGAAGAGTTTTCATCTATTATTTCATTAAATGGAGTTTTTAATGCTTTCATTTTCTTTCTGCCTTCCGGGGCACTGAAAATTCAAGTATTTGGTCACTTTATGGTGTCCCGTATGTCACTTGGGCTTTACTCCTCTTCTCCTTCTCCTTCTCCTTCTTCTTCTTCTTCTCCTTCTCCTTCTTCTTCCCTCTTCTTCCTTCTTCTTCCTTCTTCTTTTTCTTCTTCTTCTTTTCTTCTTCCTCCTTTTTGTCTGATTAGATTATTTCAAAATACCTGCCCCCAATTTGTGAGATTCTTTCTTCCTTTTGATCTAGTCTATTGTTGAAGCTCTGGAATGTATTTTGTATTTCATTCCATGAATTCTTCAGTTTCATAATTTCTGTTTGGTTCGTTTTTATGAAATATCTCTCTTTGGTAAATCTCTCATTCATATCCTGAATTGTTTTTCAGTATTCCTGTGTATCTCACTGAGATTTTTTGCTGAGATTTGTTCCTGGCTAATTATTTTTGGGGTGTGTCTTATTTTTTTGCTTTTTCATGTTTCCTGTGTCCATACTTTAATATTTGTGCATCTGATGTAACAGTCACTTATTCTAATTATTTGAATTTGCTTTCCCAGGGAAGGACTTTTTTTTGAAGATGGATCTATGGCATTGATCGGGTAGGGTACTTCGGCTTTGGTTCTGAGTACATGCAGTAGTGTAGTCTCTATATGATTTATTTGGCTGTAAACAATGTCAGTGGTGTCTGTGATTTCCTCAGTGGCTTAAGGTGCAGTTATTAGTGGAGGCAAGTTCTGCTGGGGAGTGGGATGCCAGGTAGGCCAATCTTTGGGTCCCAGTGGTGGCAGCAATGGGTTGAACATGTCTATCTTTGGGTTTCAGAGTGGTGTATGTTGGCACTGGTGTTAGTGGGTCCTGGCAGGCCAATTATTGGGCCTCCAAGTGTCTTGCTCAGACACCCGGAATGGCAGCAGTGGGCCAGGCAGGTGGGCAGGTTCTTGAGCCCCTGGGCAGTGGGCATGGTGTGTGTGATATCAGTAGCAGTGGTGAGACAACCCCCTTGGGCCCAAGAGGTCTGCTCTGGTGGTGTTGGTGGCTGTGACAGGCTGGGCAGATTGGTCCCCAGGCCCACAAGTGTCACATGTGGGTGGGTGCCACATGTGTTGGTAGCAGCAGGTTGAGAAAGCCCAAACTTAGACCCTGGGAGGAGTGGTCAGGTGTCAAAAGCAGTGGACTAGGCTGAGCAATCCCCAGGCCCTTGGATGGTATGCTCAAGTACGAGGGTGGGGGACTGATCCAGGCTGGGAAGTACTGCATTCAGGCCCCTGTAGTATGTGCAGGTGATGGCCCTTGAAGCAGGGACAGGGTAATCTTGAGGCCTCTGGCTGAATGCTCACGTGGGGGCAACAGTGGCTGTACTGTGGCCGTGTTAATGGGGAGGGCAGAGTGGCATTAAAAGGGAGCAGCCATAGGCAGGTGGCTTGGGATGGGGATGGGGGATATCACAGTGATGGCAGCTGCAGACGGTGGACTTTGTCCTCAGGACACATGAACATGCCCGACCACTCCTTTGCTGGGGTGGCCAGGGTTGCTGATTGTGGCTACTGCCTCAGCTCAGGTGGTAGTCACTGTGGACTGGCAATGTCCGTGGGGCTCCAGGGATGTGGAGATTCATAGGCTGTTGAACCCCAGGACAGGATGCATTCTACTGGGGGCTGGGCTCTCAAAATGGTACCATGCTGCAGCTGCTTAAGACTCAGTGGCTGGTGGGACCCAGCATGAGCTCTCTGTCTGGAGCAATGCCTTTTTACAGTCTGCAGGCAGCTCCCTATGTTATTCTCGAAGTCCTCAAGGTTCAAGGGGCTCTCCTGTGCCTAGAATTATAGGGACCTGTAGTGCTGTGGGTCTCTCATTTTCCCTTTCCCCATATTAGGGAACCTCTTCAGCCTCCCAGCTGATCCCAGATGAACAGGCTGCCTTGTTTCCCCCTCCTTACTTGCTTTAGGTGCTTCCCATCACTTCTCTGTTGAATTCCAGTGTTCTCTCTTAGATGATCTATCGGAAGGGTGACTATCTACTTATTTTGGTTTCTCTCCATGAAGAAGGCGAGCAGCAAATGCATCCGGTCTGCCATCTTGAAGCCCCTCCTCAGTTTACCAGGCAGTTTGTCTAAATTTTTATAACTTTCTTCTTGATAAACTTCAAGTTTGAACTTTTCTGAAAAATTAGAGAGCATGTATTCTCTTCACAATCATGTTGTGCATAAATCTCTCACTAAAAGCATACATTCATTTGAGCTTTTAAAGATCCTTAGACTTAGACCTTTAACTCTTTGGATAAGAACCAGTTATATCACTCAGGCATAATCATTGTTATAATTTTGACATAAATCCTTTCAATTATAATACATGTTCAATTTATCTGGTGTTAATTGCAAACATGTATTGATTAAAGTTATAGATTTTATGTTACTTTAACAAGAGTTGTTTTATTCTTATTTTTCTCCAGGGGGAGATGGCTGAGGAGGAAGCGCAGCAATGTTTTCTTAAAACTTTTTATAGACTAAAACAACTGGGGCCATGTTCTGCATCCTGTAATTTTAGGGAACTTAATAATTTTGCCTGTGTGTTAGAGTACATGCATGCAAAATTATTGACGTAAGAAAACCTTACCTTTGCACAATGGTTCTATTTTGCACAATGGAGTGGATTTTATTGAGATAGCTACCGCTCAGCTTTCATAAGAATATGTCAACATTTCCTCAGTTCGTCTGACTGCAAAAGCAGCAATAGAGAACATCTATACTCAAACTCACTTGTTTTCATGAAACTTACCAAAATTCAACTGAATATTTTAGGGAGATTTTCTGAAGAATATAGATCATTTAATTTGTCAGATATTCTAAAATCTAATTTTAGACTTAGCCAGTTATCAATTAAGTCTGTATTTAGACACTATTATTTTGACTTTCTATAGAAAGCCTTGAGAACTGACTACTGAATTTAGAAAGGTGACATCAGCAAGCACAGTGTTAGTGGAAGAGTGGGGATGAAAGTCTGATTAGAATGGGCACAAGAAAGACATTTTAGATGATCAGAAACAACTATTGAGACTAAATTTTTTGAGAGAGAGTCTTGCTCCGTTGACCAGGCTGGAGTGCAGTGGCGCGATCTCGGCTCACTGAAGTCTCTGCCTCCCAGGTGCAAGCTATTCTCCTGCCTCAGCCTCCTGAGTAGCTGGGATTACAGGCACGTGCCACCAGGCCCGGCTAATTTTTGTATTTTTAGTATAGACAAGGTTTCACCATGTTGGTCAGGCTGGTCTCGAACTCCTGACCTCGTGATCTGCCCACCTCATCCTCCCAAAGTGCTGGGATTACAGGCGTGAGCCACCACATCTGGCCAGATCATGTTCTTTTAATTAGACAAGTATGTACATTTCAGAAAAGGCTGAGGATTTAAGAATACAGAATGAGGCTTTGCAGTTGACATTCTTTTTCCTTCTTGTAGAAAAGTAACACACTATAAACTTTGTAAAAATTTGTGCTTGTCATAAAAATTAAACATTTCCTTAGGCATTGAAAAATACATAATTTAATACAACACATGATTAAGTTAACCAACTAATATCTTTTAAGCCATGTGTTTTATCCCGCTTCATTTTGTTTTTATTTTTTCTTTATGTAGTTTAGCTGCTTTCCCCAGTACTAGTCTCGGTTTACGGGTGAAAGGGGAGAGTTTTTATTTGTATTTCACATGGACCTAGAATTTCAACAACTGATTGCCTTTATTTTAATGATAATGCATATAACATTGGTCTCAGTTACTAGGACTACTGTTTAATGTTTCTATTTCTAAATTTTCAAATGAAAAAAATAAAATGCCTATCATTTTTCCCTTTGGGAAGTAAATTATTGGAAAAGAAATGAGATTCCTTCCATTCACATGCTGATATATGGCGATAATTGTGACAATTTTATTATCTTCAAGTATTCCCTCACTTGCATCTTTTCTTCCATCTTTGCTTCAGTTTCCCTCCCTTCCTCTTTTCTGCTCCTTCCTTCTATCTTTCCTTCCATCCTTCCTTCCTTCCTTCCTTCTTTTTTTCCAATAATATTTACTGGTTTCTTTTGTTAGTCTTAACAGTTTATTTTCCATAACATTCTTCCCTAGCTTGTAAATTTTTCTTGGGCTGATGTAAAGAAATATTGCATTGGGGGACTCTTTTCATTGAAACTCAGAGAGGCTCCATTTAAACCAGCTTACACCTTGATATTTATAGGCTCATTTATTTCAAAGATCTAGGGGGATGTCTATATACAGGCAGCTATTAAATACATTTAGGGTCCCAAGTAATGTCAGGTTCTCTGTATCCTTCCTCTCTTATCTCAGCATTTTTCTGCTTGGTTTCTCTCCATGTAGTAGTAAAATGACCAGCAACAGCTCCAGGAATTTCCTAGATTAGCAACCCAAGCAGAAAGAGAAACTTTTCGCCCTAATAGTTATGTAGCATAACCCTGAATAAATACATTAATTTACTCTATTCAGATCAAGTGAATACACCTGAACTTACTACTGCAATTGGGGGATGGGATATTATGGTGGGAAGTAGGGAAAAATGAAGCTCTGTGATTTTCAATTCTACCAGATCACATGGAGTCCTGATGATGAAGAATCCAGTAAATGGGTTTTATCTTTGAATAAAAATACAAAGATTTTTCAGAATTAATGATGCAAATTCTTAAACCTGAAAGTAGAAGCAATTTTAAGGAGACAAACTTCATTAGCACCTTGACAGAAGGAAAATTATCACTATCTGTTGCAGGTACTATAAGACTTCTTCCTCAGCCAGTGCCACTCTGTGATTTATTTTAGTGAAGTGCCTAGGAGGAAAAATAAGTTTTTAAACAGTAGCTTTATTGAAAGATAAATATGGTATATTCATATACTGTAAAGTTTACCCTGTTTAAGTATACAGTTCAGTGAGTTTTGGTATATTTACAGAGTTGTGCAGCCATCACTATTATCTAATTTTAGAACATTTTTATCACCTCAAATAAAAGCTTTAGCAGTCTCTCCCCATATTCCAAACCCCTGACACCCACCAATCTATTTTCTGTCGCTATAGATTTGGCTATTCAGGACAGTTCATATAAATAGAATCATATAATATGTGATCTTTTGTGAATAGCTTCTTTCATTTAGCATATTTTTAAGGTTCATCCTTTGTAACATATGTGTCATTACGTTCTTCTTTATGGCTGAATAATATTCCATTTTATGGCTATACCATCTTTGGTTTACCTATTCTTATGCTATACCATCTTTGGTTTACCTATTCATCAGTTGATGGACATTTCGATTATTTCCATTTCTGCTTTTCCGTTATTTGAATAATCCTTTTGTAAACATTTATGTATATGTTTTTGTGTGGACATGGGCTTTGCTTTTCTTGGGTACATTCTTAGGAGCAGAATTGCTATATCATTTGGTAACTCTATATTTAACATTTGAGGAAATAGGGAAGTCAATCTTGATGGTTTTATCGATGGTACATTCAAATAGGTCTATGTGTCCTAACAGAAAAGAAAAACACATTGTTCCATCTCTTTTCCCTTCACCACAGGAAATAATCTGTTCCAAATGCTACATGTAATCATTTCTCTAATACTCCCAAAATTATCAAGGCTGAAGTAGACTCTCTGAGAGTCAGTCCAGTCCACCAGTCTGTGCCAAGTGAAAGACCCTGCTTGCAGTTTTTTATATGCTAAAGGCAATGGGCGGGAAAGGAACACAGAGTTAAATGAAAGTATAAACCAAAATAAAATCTGCAGTTCCATTTTTTATAATTCAGGTGCTAGTGCAAGGACTCCTCAAGGTATTCCAAGTAGAAATGGATTATTTCAGGAGATTAAGCAATTACGTGCCATTAAAAGGTCTTGAGGAATAGAAATTAGAGGGTACATGCCAGCCTTTTGGTTTAAAGGTGGCATATCTCCACCTTTCTGATCCAGACATTAAAAACTGCTAAGATCACCCAGAAATTAGGACTTTATGAGAATATATTTGAGCTTACCTGTACCACAGAGTTTTAGTAAATAGATAGTGACATAGAGTTCAGAGGCTGCCAATTCATGTCTACCCTCAACATTGTTTTCCACTGCACTGTCATGGAAAGAAGAATAACCTCTTCTCTCATTTCCTTCCAAATCTCATACAACTGCACATCATCAGTGGAACTTAAATCATGTGGAAGCCTGGGGAGTGCAGTCTTTAGCATCCCAGCCCTGCAGTTAAGGAGGACAGGATATAGAAGGTGGGAGAAATGGTGGCCCAGGGCCAGTAGACATATCTAGCAGATCTTTACATCTAAATTGCCATTTACAATCTAAATTGCCATTAGATCATAGACATTTTATTTATGTACATGGCAAAAGTTAATATTTGAGGACTTTCTAGCGGAATATCAGGCAAAAATATTGTCAACTGCTGAAGTTAGTCATTCTTCTTGTTCCATTTGTCTCATCCTATCCCATTACTCTCTTAACTTAGTTTTTCTTTCCAATTGTTTTCTAAATCTGCTTAGTAATGTAGGACAACCGGTACCTAAAATAGGGTTTATTATATAACAGAAACTTTATAAATATTAGTTATTTGAATGGCTGAATGAATGAGTACTTTATTCAGTTGTAATGACTAGCTTCATATGTCAACTTGACTGGGCCACAGAGGGCCCATATTAAACATTATATCTAGGTCTATCTGTAAGGAAGTTTCCAGATGAGATCAGCATTTGAGCCAGGGGACTCATGAAAGTAGATTGTACTCACCAATATGGGTGGGCATCATCCAACATCCAATCTTTTGGGGGCCAGAATAGAACAGAAGATGGAGGAAGGAGGAATTTCCCCATCCCTGCCCCCCTTTTTTTCTATCTAACTGCTTGACTTGGGAGAGCTCATCTCACCTTTTCCTGCCTTTGTAAATGGGATTTACACCATTGGCTTCTCTGGTTCTCAGGCCTTCAGACTTAGGGATCTCCAGCTTGTGGATGGCAGATTGTGGGACTTCTCAGTCTCGATGATCACATGAACCAATTCCTCATAATAAAATTCTTTTTTATGTCATACATCTTCTTTTATATGTAAATAAAATAAATCTCCATTACACATATAAATTATATATAGATATAGCTCCTATTGGTTCTATTTCTCTGGAGAACCCTGACTGATGCTAGCATTTTCTTTATTATTGCTCCTTTCCCCAGCCATTTTTGGTCTCTTGATTTCTGCAACCTTAGGTAGGACTACGTTAAGTCAGCAGCATTCTCTTACCATTAAGGGTGCCTAAATAATGTCTACAGCTTCTATTCACAAGTTTAGGGTTAGGTGGTGATTCTTAACTGAAGCTATTTGGCCCCCCAGAGGACATTTGGCAATGTCTAAAGACATTTTTGGTTAGAGGAGGTGTTACTGGCAACTACAGAATAAAGATCAAGGATGGCGCTAAACACTTTACCGCACACAGAATAGCCCTAAAAAATTGTCAGGCCCCAAAAGTGAATTGTGTTGAGGTTGAGAAACTCTGGGTTAGAGTATGGAAGAATAAGAAAGAAAAGAAATTTGGGAGTCTGAGACAGGAGGATTGCTTGAGGTCAGGAGTTTGAAACCAGCCTGAGCAACATAGTGAGACCCTGTCTCTACAAAAAATTAGCCTGGGCTGGTGGCACATGCCTGTGGTCTCAGCTACTTGGGAGGCTGAGGCAGGAGGGTCACTTAGGCCCAGGAGATCAAGACTGTGGTGAGCCATGATCTTTCTACTGCACTCCAGCCTGGGCGACAGTGCAAGATTCTATCAAAAAGAAGAAAGAGAGAGGAGAGAGAGAGAGAGAAGGAAGGAAGGAAGGAAGGAAGGAAGGAAGGAAGGAAGGAAGGAAGGAAGGAAGGAAGGAAGGAAGGAAGGAAGGAAGGAAGGAAGGAAGGAAGGAAGGAAGGAAGGAAGGAAGGAAGGAAGGAATTGAATGCAAAAGGAGGGAAGGAGTAAAGATGATATCCAGCAGGGGTCAACAAACTTTCTGTAATGGGCCAGATGGTGAATATTTTAGACTTTGTGGGCCATAAAATCTATTGCAATTACTCAGCACTGCTGTTGTGGAAGGAAAAGCAGCCACAATCAATACATAAATGAATGTATGTGCTGTGTTCCAATAAAACTTTATTTAAGTATACTGACATTTATTTAAATTTTATATAATTTTTACATCATGAACTATTATTTTCCTTTTGATTTTTTTCAACCTTCTAAAAATGTAACACTATGTTTAGCTTTCAGGCCTTATAAAAACAGGCAGGCAAATGGTCACTAGACCCTGAAATAGAGGAAGGAGGAGGAGAAAGAACAGGAAATAAATGACTATGGTAGAGGAGTATATTAGTTTGGGGTTTATATTAGGCTAGATTATGCTGAAGTAACAGACAACCTTAAAATCTCAGTGATTTACAATAACAAAAGGGTATTTCTCATTCACAGCACATGTGTACTCTGTGCTGGCTAAGTTCTATTCCATGTTGTTTTCATCCTGGAATTTGGGCTCATAGTGCGGCCTCTATCTGGAATACTGCTGCATCTAGGAGCCGAAGAAACACGGAGAACATGGCTAACCAAGTGCTGGCTCTGGACGTTTCTGCCTGAAATTGACATACATCATTTTCACTCTGTTTCACTGGCCAAAGCAAGTCACATACCATGCTAGACTACAATGGGGTAGGATATAGAATCCTCTTCCAGATCAGGGCAATTACTATTCATGAACAATAACACAGGCTAACACATTGCCTACCTTAATGCATTCATTTGCTTAGGTTTGGTTATTCCTGAACCAAAGTTTATTTTATTCTTCAAACTAGTGTCTTAAGTAGGGACGGGGAGATATAATAGTAACAATAAAAAGAGCTAATGCTTATTGAGTGATTGTTATTTCCTATACATATGTCCTTTACATGCATTTTTGTATTTAATCCTCACAACTACCATTAAGGTGGCTACTATTTTGATCCTTACTTTATAGATGAAACAGCAATGGAGAGGTTAAAAGCACTCAACTACCAAGTAGTTGATATTCCAACCCAGGTCACTCTGATTTCAAAAGCATATTTTTACTCTAACACAGATTAAAATGTAGATTAGACTGATAAACTGCCTGAGTTCAAATACTGGCTGGTGCCAAATACAACTTTTATAGCCTTGTGCAAGTTCTATAACTTCTCCATCTCAGTTTCTCCACTCTAAAATAAGAACAATAACAATATCTACTTAAAGGGGGTTTGTAAAAATTAATGTATATGGAGCGCTGCGCTAGTGTTTATAACAATGTTTGGCAAAAAAAAAAGTTTGATGATGATGATTACCTAACCATATTTTAGAAAGCTCCACTGGTAATTTGAATCCCTTCTTTTCTGCTCCCTTCTCATCCCCCAATCCCTTTTGAGAATTATTGTTCTAGATTTTTGCCCCTACTCTGTTTTTTTTCTGTTTTTGGTCTAACACTTCACCAACCTGGAGGGTAAACCATAGGAGTATCATTGCCTTCAACCCAGGTATACATCTCACCCCTGCTTCCCAAACCTTCCTTGCCTGTCAGTTTTACATCTATGTTTTATTATTTAAAATCCTAATTTATAATTATGTGGGTACATAGCAATGATCTGGAATACAGGAGTAGGCTGCCTGGAGGGGAGGCAGTAATACTGGCCTTGCTTTTTGCTACATGACCTCGCTTCCCATATTTTCCAGTTAATTCTTGAAATTAGATGGTTACTTTTTTTTCAATTAAAATTAATTATTTAAATTTACTCTGGCTTAATTTTGGAAAGATCATATTAAATTTTTTGTCCCCTGTGAATACTGTGCAAAACCAAGCAAGTGAAGTAATAAACTGTGCTTAGCACAGATCTATCTATTAGGCATCAGTCTTTTAAAAACCAGGTATTGTTTGAGAAGGACCTGATGATCTAGAAGACTTATTCTGACAAAGTATATATAGTTCTTTCGCGTGTGGAGTGAAAAGAAGTAAACAATTTGTTCTCAGTTTTAATGCTTAAAATAGAATGAAATAGAACAACAAAAGGAAAAGGCATGAAATAGAATATCTTGTAGGCAAGTTGAAATCTGTTTTATTTACCACACGCTTAAACTAATATTTTTCTTTTAAAATGTATTAATTTCATAGAACAGAAGGATAAACCATCTCACTTCATAATATGTCCACTTGAAACAATACATAGACTTCAAGTGCTGGTTCTGATTGTGGTCAGAATTTTAAGTTAAGTCTTATGAGGATAGTGGGGTTTTTCTGGTAAGTTATGATGTTAATATGTTTTTGCTTCTGAAATAATTTAAAATCATATTTAATTTTTTTTGGTCTGGAAATTTCTTCTTCTATATCTGCCACCCACAACCCAGTCTACATTTGAATTTACTAGTTTGGCTGTATGCATTGAGAAGTGATAATTAAGAAACAGCAACAGAAAGTTTATAAAGTTTCAGAGTACATGATTAGGGCACATTATTGTATAAATAAAGTTAAAGCTAAGGTTTTGTTTCCATATGCTTCAATTCTCATCAAGCCGATTCCAAATTACCTTACATTTTTGAAAGTTCCAAATAAATTTAGATTTTATAGATATAGCAGATTGAAACATAGTACCTTACCATCTTTTCTGCCTATTGGACTTACATTATGGATCTAGGAGGCATCAAGTGCCATATTAAACATATTCTTGCCACCAGCTTCTATGAAATTGATGTCTTTAATCAAGTCATGCATATAAATTTGATCAGTGCTATTCTGTATGGATTAGGATCTAAGGGTTTATACATAAAATTGATCTATAAGGAGATATATGCTCAGACATGCAGAGTCATGCTGGGGATGCCCACGGGTCTCCCCATTTTCACACTTAGATTGCTAGGTGAAGTCAAAGCTAAATTCTAATTCCATTTAGTTTTAAGAAATAATCTGCCTTCTCTCTTTCCTGAACAGTTTCCAATTATTTAGCTTTTTTCCTCTAAAATCCATGGAGCAGAGTTAAGCACTATGTTCCCTTTAATTTCATAGCATATTTGAAGGAGCTTTGTAAGGAATGGAGCAAGATAAGAGAGTACCAAGCATGAAAAAGGCCAGATTCTTGAATCATATTTGCAATGTGTTAAATTATATGGGGAACACTGCAGTCATTTTTATTCAAGAGTAAAGTGACACTGGAAAACAATACTTTTTCAAGATAATCATTTAGATTTATTTTTAAAAGGAGAGGAGAGTTCCCTTGTTGATTTTATAAGAGCAAAGGCAACAGTCAGCCATTCTTTTGGCTAATTCATGCAATCCTCAAGTAAAACTTAAGCCCAGGTTACTTTGGTAGGATTTAAAGTAGTAAGACATATGTGAATAAAATGATATTAGGTCTGTGTAATTCTGAATAATAAAGATTAAGATGGTAATATTGGTCCCTCAAGTACTGGTATTTAAACTTTAAAAATCAATCAAGAGAAGATTAAGTGGTGTTTCTTTGGTACTAAAAATGTAAAGCTAAGACCAAATTGTTCTACTTCACAGATTTAAGATACAAAGAATGATATTTAAAGATATTAAAATAACTATTACATTATCTTCAGTTTGTAAAGAATCTCCCATGAAGTACACTTAGGAGAAATCCCTGAGTATATTAAATACTCTATTAGTATCTTTCTTCATAAACAAAGAGGAACAATTTAAAGGCTTTGCAAGACATATAAACACAGTGCTTAGTAAAAACATTATCTGTTTATAAGGCTCTCTCCATCATGCTTGTAAATTAGGCCACCAAATGCTTAAGAGGAGAAATAATAGATTCACAAAATTAAACTCTAACATTGGACACATTAACCACTCTCAAGTAAATTTAAAAACCATTCTCTGATGGTGTTTCTATGTTGTTTTAGCCACTCGATATTGTTTTTCACTGTTTCCAGCACTTGTTCCCTAGGTTTTTCTCCTGCTCCAGCTTGTGGATATTTTGCAAAAAAGCTCTCCATCTAGAAAAGAGAGAGGAGTAATTAGGATTGTCATTTATAGCCAAATTAGTCTTCAAGAATTTCATTCACAAACTGGATTTGCTTCCTTCTTACCTAGAAATTCAGTATCACTGTACAACATTGAGCTACACCTCCGGCGCATCATTCAGACTGAACCCATCTCTCAGATTAGCAATTGTTATCCATGGTTTTTGGATCCCTGCAGCATGTCAAGCCAAAATAGGCTCTTATATTTTGGGGAAGGATGGCAGCATGTCAATCGCTAGCATGCCCATTTATGTTTCTGCTGCTTTCTCTATTTTCTCTGAATTCCCCAAAGTGTTCCCTGGAAAGTCTGACCTATGGAGTGATGGTTTTGCTTAGCCTTTCACTTCAGGATTCTGGAGTATTTTAATGTACTTTCAGTTCACTTATTAAGGACTCATAAAACAAATCTTTGTTAAAATTAGTGCCGTCCTCCCTCTGACCTCCAAAGCCCTACCCCAAACTCAACTATACTAGGATTATTTGCTATAAAAATAAGAATAATTTGGTTTTTAACGTACAGAAAACTCTTAGCATTCTAATATCTAACACACAGATATTGAAACTTCATACAATCTCTACTTGTTCAACATTAACAGACATTTTTCCTCCTTTGGATTTGAGATATTTGAAACCTGAAAGATTTGAGATTAGTTTTGAAATTACAAAACTATGAATTCTGAATGGAATCAAATATTGACCAACTTATTCCAGAGTTACATTTACAGGAGAGGCGAGACTTTCTGCCCATGCTTTCGTGAACTAAACTGTCTGGTGTGGCCTTCTCAGCAACCCCAGCCTCAACTTTCTCAGCTTTTAAACTGTCTTAGAGGTTCTTTGAATTGTTTTATGTTTAGAAAAAAAAATAGGTGTACATTTTATTAGATAGAAGAATTATTTCTCAATTCACTATGTATACTTATCCAGATAAATAAAAACATGTTTACACTTTAAATGTATACAATTAAAAAATACAAAACCAAAAAGAATTCTCTTTCTCATTATCTTCTGTGATTTGAATTGAGAAAATATCATTTCTATTTGGAAAAATAGTTTCATTCTATCCCATTACTGGGTATATACCCAAAGGATTATAAATCATTCTACTATAAAGACACATGCACATGTATGTTTATTGTAGCACTATTTACAATAGCAAAGACTTGGAACCAACCCAAATGCCCATCAATGATAGACTGGATAAAGAAAATGTGGCACATATACACCATGGAATACTATGCAGTCATAAAAAAGAATGAGTTCATGTCCTTTGCAGGGACATGGTTGAAGCTGGAAACCATCATCCTCAGCAAACTAACGCAGGAACAGAAAACCAAACACTGCATGTTCTCACTCACAAGTGGGAGTTGAACAATGAGAACACATGGACACAGGGAGGGGAACAACACACACCAGGGCCTGTCAGGGTGTGGGGAAAAAGGGGAGGGAGAGCATTAGAACAAATACCTAACACATGGGGGGCTTAAAACCTAGATGGCGGGTTGATAGGGTGAGCAAACCACCATGGCACATGTATACCTATGTAACAAACCTGCACATTCTGCACATGTATCCCAGAACTTAAAGTACAATTTTTTTTAAAGTGTTTCATTCTGTTCTTTCTTGGACAAATGCAGAGGAATTTATCTTTATACCTGCCACAGTTGCAGTTCAGTGTTGAATGGCTCTGCTATTGTGACAATTCGGCCGAGGTTTCTGTTATTGAGTGTAAATCTGGAGAGAAATTTAGAGGAAAAGGAAGTGTAAGTGCTCAGAATGTTACATATTTTCTCTAAATGCAGATGTTTCCTTCTTATTTCATAGTTTGTAAAAGTAACTTTCAAAGTAAGCAAAACACAGTAAGAAAACCCATTTTACTTCAAATCATTCAATTCAAGGTAAATTCTTAGTAAATTCTGTACTTCTTTTTGTAGACAAATTGACACAACCCTCTCAGATATGGAAGACTGCTTGTTGTCATCCCCAAATCTTTTCTTCTTTTCCTGCACACATGAGCACCCTGCTAGAGACTTTCTCAGGCTCTCTCATAGCTGGGTGTCCACAGGTAATCAATTCTTACCAACAGAACATTAGCACAATGTTCAACTGCAGCCTCTTTGCTTAAATAAAGGGAAATTGCTTGCCTAGACTTCTTGGTTTTTTTCTCCCGTTCCTCCGAGCTAGAACATGGACAATACCAGTGATACGGCTTCAGCCATGCAGATAGGATACTGGCCTGGCCTCACAAAGCAGAACCACACTCACAACTTGAACCACTCACTTCAGGAGTCTCACCGTAGTGAGAACTAATTACCCACACACACCCTTTCAGCGGCTGCCTTTCTATGTTTCCGTTATGGCAGAACACCTCCAGCATCATTATCCTAATACTCTATGCATCTTCCTGCTGGTACTGAAATTTAAATATAGGCTATTTATTCCGCTTTCAAAAAGCTTTATTAGTTGCTGGCATGTGGGGGTTATGATCTGTATCAGTCTGCCTAAGCAAAGAAACCTAAAGCTAAGTTCCAAGATAGAATTTTAAAGATGATACAATGAGAACACTTGGACACAGGAAGGGGAACATCACACACCGGGGCTTGCTGTGGGGTGGAGGGAGGGGGGATAGCATTACGAGATATACCTGATGTAAATGATGAGTTAATGGGTGCAGCACACCAACATGGCACATGTATACATATGTAACAAACCTGCACATTGTGCACATGTACCCTAGAACTTAAAGTATATATATAAAAAAGATGATATTCTATCCCTTTTCTTTTTGCATTTTCTTTCATAAAGAGCAAGAATCAGAAGTTTCCTTATAGACCACAAATGGTTGTGATAGAGGTAAAAAACTCTCATCACAACTAGTCACAGTGCAAGAAACCCACAAAATTATGTATAAACCTTAAACCCCTGGAATGTTGAGGAGGGACACAAGAAAATATGTACACAGCAATAGGATAAATTTTACATTTAAAAATTATTACAGGCCGGGTGCGGTGGCTCACGCCTGTAATCCCAGCATTTTGCTAGGTCAAGGTGGACAGATGGCTTGAGGTCAGGAGTTCGAGCCCACCCTGGGCAACATGGTGAACCCCATCTCTAACAAAAATACAAAAAGTAGCTGGGCACGTGGTGGTGTGCGTCCCACAAGTAGTCACAGCTACTTGCTGGGCTGAGGCGGGAGGATCGCTTGAACCGGGGAGGTCGAGGCTGCAGTAAACCAAGATTGTGCCACTGCACTCCAGCCTGGACAGAGTGAGACCTTGTCTCAAAAAAAAAATTTATATAGCTATATATATATAGTACATATATATAATTTTATATAAATATTAAATGTTTCCCTTCATATATATACACACATATATATGCAAAAGCAGAAATCATGAAGATAAAAGCTGATAGTTTGTTTTATGCAAATTAAAAATTTTATACTGAGCTGGGAGGTGATGGTTTGCCCTTGTAATCCCTGTGACTTGGGAAGCTGAGATGGGAGGATCCACTGAGCTGAAGAGTTCAAGACTAGTCTGGGCAACAAAAGAGTTTTATACACACACACACACACACACACACACACACACACTCCTACCATATACAAAATTAAAAGCCAAATACTAATTGAGAACAAATCGTTGTAACATATATGATAAAGAGCAAATATTTTTGCCATGTAAAGAACCCTTCCAAATTGGTAACAGGGAGAAATATGCCAGCATGAATTTAGCAAAGGAATGAAAATGTACCAATGGGAAAAGAATAAAATGTTCTAGTAATCAAGCATGATTTCAGCATACCAGGCCGTGCCCACTCTTATCACAGACGCCACTGAATTTAAAGCCAATATGTTTTTCATCCCTAATGTCATCAGTCATTATCTAAAATGTGATTCTGAGGCATTAGTAATGCTGCCCCTAAATGCATGTACTTTCTTGCCTCTGACACATTTCCTAAATCTCCCCAGGCTCTCAAATCCTTTCACCTAGCCCTCTGGAACTGTCCCTTTACAGGGAACATTACTTCTCATTCTCACTTAGAGAATGTTTATATTCCCACAACCTTTGTAGCATCAGGTCAGGAAATGGAGTCAGTGTGCTCATGCTCCCCATTGCTGCTTCCAGACCAGCACTCCTCCACCCTCTTTAAAAACCTCTGTTCCCTTATGTTATTCCCTCACATTTAATGATACATTTTGGTACCTCACTCCTCCAAGCCATGCCATCATCCTAGGTAATTTCCAGGTCCACACAGATGAATGATATACCATCTCTTCTCTTAGTTCTTTAACCTTATTTTCAATAATATTTTCTTCACTCGACTTCAGCCACCAAACTCCTATGATACTTTGTGATCATCCATAAGTCATCTGCCTCTAAAATTGTTAATTTATTCACCCTCTATGGCATGTTATATATTTCAGTTTCCACTGTGACTGTTCTTTCACTTTACCTGGATTTCTGGTCCTTTGACTATCCCCACCCCTACTATCTCTTAAACCATCAGTTTTTCCTTTTCTTTCATTTATTTCTTTATGTAGTTCAGATGGTCTACCATTTTGAATAACATTTTTGCCTAAGACCCGAACTTTTTTATACTTTAATAATTTATGTCTAATAAAGTATACATGTATTTGTGTGACTCTTTACTTAAAATTTGTCTCTACTCAAAGCTTCATGAGGACAGAGAACCAGGTCTATTTCTCCTTACTATTGCATCCCCAATGCCAGTCATAATGCCTAGCACAGAGTAGGCGCTCCACAATATTTACTGGATGAAAGAAATGTAATTTAAAATGAGATATCGGTTTTCATATATTCAATTAGCAAAGATACATAAAAATAACAACAACAAGCATTGAAAAGGGTTGGGAAAATAGGCAGTTACTAGCAAAATTTTTTAGAATGGTAATTCTGCAACATTTATCAGAAACCCTAAAAATAAACACATCTTTTCACCCAGTAGTATTACTTCTACTATTACTTGTATTCTAAAGAAATTGTCAAGGACATTAAAAAAAACAGCAAAGGATTCAGTGTAAAAGACTGTTCATCAATACACTACGTATAGTTGTAGGGAACAGTTCTATTGTCCAACATATAGGGATTGGCTAAGTAAACTAAGATATATGTACAAATTGAAACATTATTAAGCCATTCAAAATAACATTGAAGATGGACACTTAAACACATGAAAAGACACCCACAATATAGGATGATGAGAAAAAAAGCAAGTTATAAACCATATTTATAATATGTTTCCATTTCTGTAAATTAAGTAAACAGACATAGAAAAACTCAAGGAGAAACAGTAATATGACAATGGGAGTTATTTCTTGGTGGTTGCATTACAGGTAATTTTTATACTCATTGTTGCTTATATGCATTGTGCAAAAAACACATATCAGTTTTACAATAAGAAAATAGGAATTTAAAAAAGCAAATCACACTGAGTCTAAAGGACATATTTAGAAATTAGCAATGAACATACTGAGTGAAAATTGCAACTACTTGTTTAAATACCAGAAAGGCCAGAACAAAATATGTACATCCCGGTATACTAGTATCATATAAAGCATAGAAAATAAGGGAAAATATACTGCTTGCTTATCATATTGGTTATTTTTGAAAACTCAAATAAGGACCTAATTATATTTTAAACAATTTGAAAAAAATTGTACATATATTGTCTTCTTGGATTCAATATTTATACAAGTATTATTACATTATCCAAAAGAAATAATTTTAATACACACAAAACTTTGAAGTGTTTATTAAATTGTTTGGTTTATGAGGTAGTATTTGAAGGGTTTCAATCATGTCCTATTGACTTAATTTTTCATCTACCGTCATAAGCTATAATCACACCACATTATTATTGAGTCAACTCAACTTCACCGTTTCATCTAAGAGTTTATTGGAAGAAACAAAAGCAAAGAATAATTTCTGAAGTATCTTTGGGACTTTGCGGTTAAGTCTCAAACTGGCAAGGACATTAGTAGTGTGGCCATCAGTTGTCATAAAAATCACATGACAAAAGCTTTATTTAAATAAAAGCTTATTTATTTCAGGATGACAATAAATTGTTCAGAAATGGAGAGAGTAAAACTATTCATCCTGAAATCTGGCAAACGTTCAAGTGTTTGGAAATATTTGGATACAGTTTGGCTCATTTTTGTTTAATTTTTATTATCCAATTTTCAAGGGGAAATTCTGCTTATTCAAGCCAAGTACAATTAATATTGGGTGTTTGTGTGTATTAGACATGAGGTTATTATGAAATTTTATGTTTGGGTCATTTGAAATAATATCTCATGAGAATGAGATCATTAGATTATGAAGAAATGCTAAAAGCCTTTGTCAAAAGTTGTGGAGTACTTATGGAAATAGTTTATCTTCTTTTTTTTAATCTTGAAAAACAATCAATTTATCAGGCCTAATACATTTATTTTAAGGCTATACGTATATGAACTTTATGACAAGGTAAAACCTATTTTTTTTCTACTTCTTAATTTTCTTGAAGTGTAACAACTAATTTTTAAAAATGAAAAATGCATTATTTGAAATAAATCACAGCAAAGCTACTCAAATAGGCCTTGAGAAATATTTATTCAATAAATGATAAGTTAATGGCCATTTTATTACGCAAAATAAAACATCATTTACTTATCTTTTCATAATAACTCAAAAGTAAATTTTGTGTTTCATCTACATAGGTTTCTTGCACCATACACCACAAAAAAAGAGATAGTTTTATGGTCTTTTCAATTAAAACAAAATATGCAGTATTTATCACTAGCCATATATTTTTCAAAATGGAGAGTATTACCTTGCATGATATAAACTGTTACATCTAGATAATAACATATTCTTAATAGCTAGATTCATTCATTCTAAATTAAGCATTTCTTTTTTTTTTTTTTTTTTTTTTTTTTTGAGACGGAGTCTCGCTCTGTCGCCCAGGCTGGAGTGCAGTGGCGCGATCTCGGCTCACTGCAAGCTCCGCCTCCCGGGTTCACGCCATTCTCCTGCCTCAGCCTCCCGAGTAGCTGGGACTACAGACGCCCACAACCGCGCCCGGCTAATTTTTTGTATTTTTAGTAGAGACGGGGTTTCACCGTGGTCTCGATCTCCTGACCTTGTGATCCGCCCGCCTCGGCCTCCCTAAATTAAGCATTTCATTTAAACAATCATAAAAGATGAACAATGCACATGAGTGCACGTGCACACACACACACACACACTCACATGCACACCAACCAGTCTGCATAGAAATGGATGAACAGTGACACTCCAATAGTTACAAGAATAGAAAAGGTAAAAATTTATCACAAACAGGCAGAAGCGATGCAGTGTATTTTGGTTGGGAGCTAGAGATAGAATCTGAATCTCAGAAGGAAAAGAAATGTAAATGGAGAGAATAGCACTCTGGTGAGTTGTGGGGTGGAAAAGAGAAAATAATTAAAAGTTATCATTGCAGTTGGTATTTCTCATAAGGCAGTCATTATCAATGAGGCAGTGCTGCTGGATTGACAGGAGAGATTAAGAGGAGGTAACACAGGCTATTTCCTAATGTAGGGATTACAGATGGTAAAGGTCTTTTCATCAATGTTTATACATTTATTTGGGACATATGTTAATTCTATAATATAGAATAGTTTATACATATTATTCTATTTTATACTCTGTCAAAGAACTGCCTTCTGGATGGAAATTGTGCATTATATTTAGAGTATCAGAACCAAGAGCAGCAATATTTCTTCTGCACAGGGCTGAAGAAATATGAAGTTTGGAAAAGCATCTCTTTAACTGATTTTGCTTTTGTCCTTGCTGTTTCCCATTTAAAAACTTCTATTGCCTAGGAAATATAATTCCCTTTTAAGAACCATTCAAAATACTTGAACTTTCATTATCTGGTCAGGATAGGTAATAGTTATCACCCATATAAGCTCAGTACGATATAGAACTCTAATTTGAACCCAGGTCCAATAATTTTTACCTAGCTTTCATCGAATATTAATTGAGAACTAAATAGGTGCCTGGCATTATGCTAGGTATTAACACAACAGGCAGAATTGTATTAACGTGTTTTAACCAAACTAAAAATAATGCAATTTAGTCTTCCAGATCTCAGAATCCTATAGGTCAGCTGAAACAATAATTTCCAGAAAAAAAACTGTTCTTAAAATTAACTAGTACATTGCTTCCCTGGAAGGACAATACCATGATCCTTTACCTCTAATAATATGCCATTTTAGATATTGTATAGATGTCAGAGACGGTGGCCCAAAGAAAAATGGAGGAACCAGTAGATAGTATGAAACAAAGAGAACAGCAGACCATTATCAGATCATCCCACCTGTTGACTAGATAGTCCCAGTTGAGTTGTATCCAATTCCAGGCCATGTTCTTCCCATAGCTGTTATATGAGATATATCGAATGACTGTAAACACATCCTGAGTTTTAATAAGGTTTGTGTCCTTGAGCAAATCCAAATACCTAAGAGAAGCCAAACAGAAAAACAATTCAAAGTGAACTTATAATGTTCACCCTTAGCTAAATTCCAATACAAAATAGTTTTCATGCCAGCAATTCAATTCTTGAGGTATCAACTGACAAAGTTAATTAAATATGACAAATGATGAAAGACAACTTGAAATTTTCGGATATGCTTAACTGTTTTTAAAGAACAACCTATGATTTTAAAGACTAGTGGACTGTAAATTATAAAAACATTTAAAATTAAATTATTTTAGAAGCATCAAAAACCATTTTAAAACACAGAATTTTAACCATTAATATTTTAAAACAGCATTTATTGAATAGACTACTTCACACACTTCCCTATTATCCAGCTGGATTTTTAAAAGAAGCCAGTAAATTAAGAGAATGTATCTATGCTCTTATATTCTATAGGAAGGCAGTTGTTTGCTCTTCCCTAGATTGTAAGAAATAATCCTATAATGTAACCTATATGGTTATATTAGTTGACAATAATTAAGAACACAAATAAGAACAAGATAAATTAAATGACTAAATGGATAGGTTTAATTGTATGCCATGGCTATACCTAGAGTAGCATTTCTAGCCCAAGACCTTAAAAGTGTATATTTTATTGAAAAAGTGTTTCCAAATAAGGTCAGCACACATTTTATTCACTGTGACAAGGGAACCTCAAAAATAGATGTCTACTACTGATAGATTAGATGTATTTTCATGTTACTGAAGTCTTGCTGCCCCATGGCATCCTACCCATTGGCTTAATTCCTTTGTATCTTTAGGAGGATATAAGATAATTACTACAACAAACGGATCACTGTTCAACTTGAGTTGTGAGCCTTTGAGAGTCAGCCTTTGTCAAAGAGAAAAGATATTTCTAAATTACGTATGTTTTTATTAACATACTTGACATAGAAATTTACCCTAAATGAGACTGGAGAAAACTCAAGCTTAAACAAAGTCCATGCCACATGGGAAACTGGAAAACACAACCCCTTAAGAACAGGTCTGTAGTTCAGCATGTACATTTGCACTATGCCAAAATGGCATGGGAGAGTGATAGTACATCATAGCATAGACAAGGTGAGGTGAATATATGAATGAGTTTAAGCTAACGACCCTGGTTCCTTTGACTTGTGGGTCCTGTTTATGGGATCCTATCAGTTTCTTCAGCCTAGCAATAAGAGGCAGGGATGCTGGAAGACATGATGGGAAAACAAAAATACCATACATACAACACAGGTACTTCATGAACAGAAGCAAGTGACTGGGACCACTACTTTCATCTCTGGATGACAGATAGTGTACCAGAAGGTAAAATGTGATCAATGAAAACTCAATGGACTCTGGCCCAGACCAGAATAGGTAAACACCTTAAGGCCAAAGCAGCAAAAATCAGAGGTCTCTTTCTCCATCACCACAAAGGTGGCATGTCTCCCTATGCAGAAGGAGCATGAGGTAGGGAAGGAACTCTAGAAGACTCAACATTTACTCCAAGAGACTATTTAAATGAGAATTCTAGTTTAACGATTCATTTAAAAACTAGACGGGCAGACAAAAATAGTCAACATCAGTTGTTCTCCCTCTCACGGGTTCATCACCCAGCCGTGTGAGAACTCTTGGGAATAACCAGATAGAAAATCAAGGTCCTACATTTTCTTTGCACTTGCAGTTGTGTGGATAAATCTACTTATATGAAAATACAACGTATCAATCACATGTTTCAAATAAGAAAGGAATTCCAAGGATGCTGGTACTGCAGCCTGGACTTGCTACAGAATCTTCTTTTATTCTGGTCATTATTTGAAACTGGAAGACTTTGTAAATGGTTAAGGTAACATACTCAAATGTGAGATATACTGCTTCCAAAATTAAAAAAAAAAAAAAAAAGATTACCAAACCCACTAAAATAATCTTTTTCTGTGGCATGTCAGTCAAGGTGCAACAAATTTCTTTTACTTTGGAAGGAATATTATGATGTGCTCTAACCTATTGAACTTCCAGAAACTGCACTAAAGTGGTGGGATCCTGAATTTTTATGCAATTTATCTTTTATCCCCCAGTTCACAAGGTTCTTAGTAAGGCATCTAAAGTACTTGCTAATTTTCTTACCAGATAACAATCAGCACAATGCCATCAAAGTAATGAATTAGTGATGTTTTGTGAAATGTGAAAATGATCAAGTTCTTTTTTTTTTTTTAAATAGATACGAGGTCTCACTATGTTGCCAAAGTTGGTCTTGACCTCCTGGGCTCAAGAAAACCTCCTACCTCAGCCTCCCAAAGTGCTGGGATTATAGGCACCAGCCACTGTGCCCAGCCAAGATGATCAGGTTCTTGATGAACTGTCATGGCAGAGAGCAGGAGAATTAATACATAGCCCTGAGGTAAGAGGCTGAAGGTATATTATTGGCTCTACCTGGTAAAAGCAAACTGCTTCTGGTTATCCTTTTAAATTGGTATTGCAATGTAATTTACTATTTACATTCTGCCTCTCCCATGAAGCTGTAAGTATCTCAAGGATAGATGTAATTTTTATTCATGTTTTATTCATTTTTATTTCCACAATCTACATATCTATACATAGAAAGGACACCATAAGTGTTGGTTGAATAAATGAAGTAAATAACTCAGACACTATAACTAAGCAAAAAATGAATTAAGGAAGAAGCCTGTTGATTTCGAGTATAAATGCAGAGTGGGAAATGAGTCATAGATGAGCTTCAAGTGGTCTTTGCGCCTTCTGAGTAAAGTGTAAATACATTTGCGGCAGACACTCCTCTTTCTCTAATCACAGAGACTAGTTTTGCTCTGATACCATTAGATATCCTTGATCTTAGGTAAAGCAGACTTCTACCCCAGTCCCAGATAATTCTAATGGGCTCAAATCAGCCAAAGGAATTCAAGTTCACCCTAGTGAGCAAAGGATCAAGTAATAGTCCCAGAGTGTGGGCCACAATGATGAAGGGTGACCCAGTTCTGGATTATGAGGGGAATTGGAGACAATTGTCCTGTTGGCATAAAAGACAGAGCCTGTGAAGAAACTCTTTTGCTCCTGTCCTACCTCCATTACACATGTTTGTGTAAAAACAAAATGTTTCAAGCTCTGTAAGTCATGAGACATCTAACATGTCGATCATGGAAAATCAGAAAGAGAAGAGCCTGGGTCCTGAGTGAAAATGTTGAGCCACTGCATACAACTAGAAGCTACCTACCTCCAGAATGTTTTCATATGAGATTACATTTCCTTATTGTTTAGGCCAGTCTTATATGGATATTTTGTTTCTTGCAGGGAAAATAATTTTTATCGATATTTTTGGCAACAAAACCTCATACTTTAATCAGACTCTTAAAGAGACTGTGACACATAAACTATTAAATACCATTTATATATGTGAAATAAAAGCCCAACTTACCTTGACAAAAGAGTAACGTTCTTCACTGATGCTAATCCATAAAGCAGTTTTTCTTTTTCTTGAGCTAATGAAGTTTTCTGGTATTGCTCAAGAGTGTAGTTCCATGAAATCTCATTGCCAGAGTTCTGCATCCCATACCGATACACTAGAAGCCTGAGATTTACAGGAAGACTAGAAGAAGAAACAGTGTTTCAGAGATTTCAACTACTCTTTTCTCAATTGTGTCTTCTAAACATAAAAATGTGAGTAATCACCTTACGGTCCCATTTAGCCACTGCTCAAATAAAAAGGAAGCATTGTTCAAGGCTTCTCTGTCTCCCACCTTGCACGCAAACCCTAACACGGAGGAACGGAGTAACCTTAAACAACAAACAAACACAAATCCAGGGCCTTAAGCACTTTTCAACAAGTCTTAAAACAAAAAACAAATGTTAAATGAATTTTAGTTGTTAAAAAGTGAGAAATAACTTTGTGACATGGTCTCCAGCATCATTCCATCCCAGAGAATCTGCAATAGGCTTCACTTGACCTTGGAAGTATTCCTGAAATAAAAGCATAATAAAAGCATAATTTACTTGGAAGTATTCCTGAAATAAAAGCATAAATTATTACTTAATTTACTACGTATCAGTAGTATCCTGATTATTATACTCAGCACCCCCTATTATAATCGGTTTTCCTACAAATTCAGAGAACTTGCGCTTTTCCTTAAAATAACAATGTATTTGATTTTTATCACATTGCAATTTTGCCTCAATCCTGAAAAATATAAACCACCCTGGACCTTCCTGTAATGTTTTACACAAGTTTGGGCAAGGCCTTTTAACCCCTAGTTCTTAGTTAACATATGTAATAAATAGGAAAACACTCAACATACTTTCTGCACTAAGAAGATTGCTTAAGCATATATGAAAAAGTAAAAATAACTGATATTTGTATATTGCTTTAAGTTTTACAAAGCACTTCCATATTATTTGATCCTCACTATACCATTACCGTAGGCAGGCAAGTGTTGGCATTCCTAACGTACAAAGGAAATTCAGACTCACAAATGTTAAATCATTTGTTCAAGATCTTTCATTTTGTAAACAGAAGAGCTAGAGATTTGAATCCAGAATTTGTTCAAAAATACGAGTGTCCTACTTATGTGCTACAGAAATCATAAAGCAAGGAAACAGTATTTAGAATGACTACTTAAAATAAAATCTCAATGTAGAAATATCAGCAGTAAGAATAAGAAGATATAATATTATGTTTAAGAAGAAGAATTCATTTTAACATAGATAAAGTCCATTTTTAAAAAGATCTAACTAGTATTTATTGTTTAAAATGTTGTATATTTTAAGTAAAATATTAATCGTTGTATTCCTTCTAACACTAAAATGCACCTAAGTGGTATGTATGCAGAACCATAAATTCTGATGTACTTCAAATTGAAAAAGAATAGACGGTGTAGCTTTGCTTTGATTAGTCAAGTCATTGCACTTTCTTTTGATTCCACGTGGCAAGCAAACATGGTTTATGTCCCCAGGAACTCCTTCTCTCAGAAAGCATCCTATTCTACTAATGGTTAAATATTTACTTTGGTAAGATACCATAGCATTAACATCACCTCAATCATAGGATATAGCTCTTTATCATCTTCAAACATGCTAATGATGTAGGTTACAGCTGAAATGACTCTCTGCCATGGTAAAAAATTCTCTTCCTTTTTGAGATACATGGTCAAGTTCAAAGCCACCTTATAATCTAGAAGTTGAGCTCTGAGAAAGACAAAAAACAAAACAAAACAAAAACCCCACAGTTAATTAAAAATCACAGACTTTAGTTTCCATTTAACTGAAAGTTTTGGCGATCAAAGCATTCCATGTTAATGAGGATTCTTCCATTCAACAATCAAGGAATTGCATTTATTGGTTGAAGCCCAATCGAAAAGTTTTGTCCAAAATTATATAGTCGTGCTTTCATACATTCAATAGTAAGGAGGAAGAAAGGCATTAAGATGTACCTTTGAAAAAGCACAAGAGCAAAATTTCAAATAAAACAAAAGCCATTTAGCTGTACAGTTAATATTCATAAATAGAAACTTTTAAATTCTAGGTTCCCAAGCAGGTTATAACATATAAGTGTACATTATAAATGTATTTTGTTGAAATTATTTACATTGGCTTATGAAGAAGAAACATAAATAACAGTATTCATGAATCCTGAATGCTTAAAACATTCAAATTGAACTTTCATTTTCCTTTATAACATCTTCTTTCTTATCCATTTCCCAGTAATACTCATTAAAAAAGTAAATTTTTCTCTTCTAGAAAATTTTGAAGATACTATCGACATTTCAAAGGTTAAAAAATCAACTTTCTTTTCCTTTCAAAAGAATTTTTGAACCTTTTGAAATCAGCTCAGCTTTCCCACTTCCCTGTCCTGTTTTGTTTTTTTGTTTTTTTGTTTTTTTTAACTCCCTGTCTCATGAAATTACTCTCTCAAGAAACCACTGGTACAAGAACCTCTATTTCTGACCCTGCTTCTAGGGAACTCAACTCAAGACTGCTAGCATTCTTACACAACTTTGGGTCTCAAACTCCATTTAAGTCCATAGGCAAAGAGCAATTCTGAAGGCCAGACTTGGTTGAGACTTTTCTTTGTTCAAAAATATTCTGTTTATATAATGAGAGCCCAGCCTGGGGAACTTAAATTATAGAAGTTTACTATATCTTATAGTGTAGAGAGGTTGGAAGTTACAGCTTAAAATTTCCACCAAATAAAATGGAGAAGAGGACAAAGGTCATATGAGAGCATTCTTGCTCTTCTATATTGGGCTAAGGCACCTAGGAAGGTTGGGGGACTCTTATAGCAGAAGGTTTGTTTTTTGTTTTCCTGAGTGTAATTTGGAAAGACTGCACAGTCCTTCTTAGAGAAGCCTGAGTTAAGTAGTTAAGTATAGTGTCTTGTCAAACATAACTCTCCAGAGGGACAACAAAAATGGTTGAGAGAGGTGCCTGGGTGAGTAAAACTGACCCCATGTACTTGGGTCCTCCGGCAAGTTTTTCAGCTGGTGTGAAGGGCATAAAAAGTTCCCAGCTGTCTAGTCACTCAACTGAACTTGCCAATTAAATTCAGATTTCTGGCTTAAAACAGTCATTTTGCAATTAACTAAATCACCTTTGGATTCTCTTCCCATTCCCCATCTTCTCACTTCCTTTAAGGGAAGTCCATGAGAGGATGGGAAAAGTTGCTTTTAGAGTTCTGTGTTGTTCTCTGGTTATCTCTGCAAACACTTACAAAAATGTTTGTATCTAAGTCCATGATCTTGGCTTGACTGATGTTCACCTGCTGCTTCTTATTTGCTAACATGGCTGTTACCTTGGATATCCTTGGAGCCAGGGGTCCTTGAAACCTGGCTGAAATTCTGCTTAGATCATTAGCTTAGGTGGTCCTTTCAGCTGTTCCCTTTGCCATTCTTCCCTTACCTAGTGACTCCTCCCCACCCACAGGCTTACCAGACAGCAGGCTCTGCTTTCCCTTATGTTATTACCCACCCTCTCCAGGCTGTAGCAAGAAGTGGGCTGAAGAGGACAATATCAAGTAATTGCAAAGAGAAAACAAAACAAAACAAAAAACTATTGTAACAAGCAGGGGATGGGGTGGGGGGAAGAATTATTTCTGTGTCTGTTTTGGCAAGGCCCCAAGACTAAGTCTCTTGGCCTATGCTCCAAAGAAAGAAGTAGGACCCCAAAGCAGGACTAACATGGTCAAGAACAGGACTGTGTGATTTTTTGCTGATAGTCCAACACCAGCTTATAAATAAGGTTGAAGAAACTAAGGAGAAACATTTTAGTGGCAGCCTTTCAAAGAGTGCCGTCAGTATACTGAGTACACTGTAAATGCTCTCCCCTCCAAGGGCTAGGGGACCAGATGTTTTTCTGTCTAATTAAGCCTCAGGAGACAGGTTTCAGTGGAACCACTCGAAGAGGTTTACCTGTGTCTCCTGGGACTTGGAGGCACAGTGGTTTGCTGTCTGAAACCCTGAGAAACCTAAGAGATGAGAGGCTATTTGGCTGCTACTCTGGCCTCAGAGTAGAGAGGTGGGACTGCATGAGGTGGCCTGGTCTTCCACATATTGTCAGGGCAAAGCATACATGACAACTTCCTATGGATCGGAAATGGGTCAGACGTTTCCACCTGCCCACCTGAAGAAAACTGCAGGAGAAAGATCCTTCTCAGTGGAATAAATATGGGTGACAAAAATCCCATAAAAACACAACACAAGGAAAAGAATCAGCATTAAACATCAACAAATTTCAGAGAGGACCAAAAGTAGGCAGCACATCAGGATTTTTCTCCCTCTCACCTACTCTCTCTCCCTGTTCTCTTTGCCTTAACTTTGGAGAAACCAGAGGCAGCACAGTGACTGGGGAGATGTAGAAGCTCCAAGCAGAGAAACGAAGAGGAAATCAATCACCCCATTCTCATTGCAGGTGACTGGCCTGAACCTGGCCTAAGGTGGGAGCAGGGAGAAGCTTTAAATGAAGTAGAAAGCTTTGATGATTTTACTTGACTGAGCAAATTATGGAATTGAGAGGGTTTGGATGAACTAGTGGTGATGAGTAAATTTCTTCCCTTGACCAAAAGAGTCATATGCCCAGTCAGGGCAGTAAGAGTACTACCTCTTCAGATCAAGTTGGAAGAGACAGGGGAATAAAAAAATACATTTATTTTCAGATGTATCATTTAGTTCTGATTATTAAATATAGTGGTTACTACATTCCTTTGAATACCTCAGTAGACTTATATAAATTCTAATCCTGCCACAGTTGCTCACCCATTTAACTACACATTTCTTCTCTCTTCCACCTCCTCCACCAAAGTTGCATAGTGGTCTTAGCTTAAGTAGTCTTAGAAGCTGTCCTCTTGGCTCTAACCAATGCTGGTTGAATCTGTTTCTCTCTGAGTCCCATTTTCCTCATGTGCTGCAGAACATCACTGAGCCAGGTGATAGTGCAGGTATTTTCTAGCTCTCTTGTGTGATCCTACATATGTTTTGAATTTCAAATTTGTTTCATTTTCTTCCTCTCCACAGCTCTTCACAATTTTATGGGTCTGTGGCCAAGGAGCTGAGCAAACGTGAGGAAGTATTTCAGTAGTGTAAGTTATTTGCTTGATACTCAGTTCCTCAGAGAGAGCTGTTCAAGAGGCTTTCACTTCATCTTGGAATAGAAAGGACCTCCTACATTGTGATGCAAATTAAACTGTAGAGATAGTACAGTTCTTTGTAATTTCTAACAGTGAAGAAGCTGAGCTTTGGAATAGGACAATTTAAAAATAAAAACTAAATGATTCTGTTTTAAAATACTTATTGATCATCTTATTTCATCATTTAATTTCCCAGATTCTATTCTACACAGTGCCTGGCACATAATAGGTCCTCAATGTTTGTTTATTAAATGAGTGAGTGGTATATTGTAATAGAGTGAAAATAATCTATTACATATCCAGGAGGTTAAACTTGGAGATTCACTAGAACATCATATTGTCTATTAGCTACAAAATGAGTGTAGATTACAAATTCAGAAGAGCTTTTCTAAACGCATCTTCACTACTAATTAATGGTGGATGCATTTTGGTCATGTAATACAATGTATTGAGTTTCTACATGCCAGACAATCTTTTAAGTGATTTATGTCCGTTATCTCATTTATTCCTCACAGAAGTCTTATAAGGTCATCTCTACTTTGGTGATAAGAAAATTGAGCCAGAGAGAGGTTAAGAGACTAACTTAAGGCTATATGGAACCAGGATTTTAATGGGTTTCAAGAGCCTGTTTTCAAACCCCATAATTCCTTCCTTGAAATATGTCAAGGTTTTCTGACTTTCAATATACTATCTAGGAACTCTATGTAAAATAGTTTCCCCTGCCTTTAGTACTACTATACTATTCTTCCAGCTCTCTATTTAGTCAGTATTTATTTTCAACTATTATTGGCCACATATAGTCAGGAGCTGGGTTTGGGTGCCTATCCTCATGAACCTTCAGTTTGATGGGTGAAATGCACAATTATTAAACAATAACAGTAAAGTATTATGAGGAAATATAGGGTCCCTTAAGAAGGATACCCAATCCAGAGAAAGAGGCCATGGGAGGTTACTGAGGGAAGTGGCTCCTCATTCTTAGTACATTGCTTATATCTAGAATGAGGTCACTGCAAAGCCAGAGAAATAAAACTGGCTGTGTCTCCAGCTTCTGCAAAGTGCCAGGAACTCAATAAATGCTTGTTAAATTACTAGTGTTAGACTACATGAATAAAAAAAAAAAATAGAGGTACCATTAGTTCCCCCAATCTACACTTTTTCTAAAGAGCAGATTACCTTCAGACTATGAGAAAAAGAGTCAAATTTTCCAAATTGTCCCCTAATTTTGATCAGTTCTAAAGCACCATAGCTCATTCTTCTTACCCCAGTGACCTGAATAAGATTTGACAATTCCAGCCATAAAATCTTACATGGGGCTTGGGCTCACAGAACTGAATTAACAAAACACGTTGTTTGTCTTTTTATTAAATCAAATTATGAAGGTACACTTTCGATCATTTGCAAATGTCACTCCTAATTAGCTCAGGGATCCTAATATAGACAAACCATACTCAAAGTCAATAGGTTAGGTAAGTTTTTGTGTATACCGTAAGGGCTAATGTCAGTATTTTGACTATTAGGCTCATGTGAACTTTTGAAAAGAGAGTTAAGGAAAACGATAATGTTTTAAATAGTGGCTTTGAATAGTTTAAGCTAAAATTGATTAATACTGCAATGTTTAATTCATTTTTTAAAGATTTATGACAAAACCCACAGTATTTTAGGTAATTTAGTCTCATTTGGAAACGCACCTTGCCAAGGCAAAAGCATCATCAATAAGACTTGCACGATCTGCTGAAGAAAATGTCTGGGAAGAGGGAGAAAGAGAGATAAAAAACACAATTCTTAAGGCAAAGCATGTTGAAAAAAATTAATATCATTAAGATGCTGTTCTTAGAACAAAAATAAAACAGTTTCCAACCATTGCTGTCTCTTACCTTGTGGTTCAAGGAGAGCTCTGCAGCTATCGAGTCCCAAGTTGCTACTTCATAATTTACACGATAAAACCCAATATGATCTGGGTTTATTTTGAGAAGAGCATTTCCACTAGGATTAGAAGAGTTCAAAGTGATTCCTGTGGTAGTAAATAAACACTAATGAGCAACATGTTTGCATGCACTGTAAACACACAGGGAAATTAGACCCTGAGGGCAAAAAGAAAATAAAATAAAAGAAATATTAGCTCAAGGAGGCTGGTTTGATTTGGATCCAAAACCCAAAGCCTAATTTTTACTTAGTTGCCTAACTTTAGAATGTCACTATAATGAGAGAGCTAAAAAAGAAATAAGTAATATAAATAATTACACTGTAATTTATGATGGATAGTTTTTACTGGCAGAAGCTTGCCAAATGGGTGAAATAATTTTGTGCTGGTCAATCCATCAGTATAAGAAAGCAATGCCTCCAGACAGAGAAGTCCATGCCTTCAGGGGTAGTCCATAGATCTCTAATCATAATGGACTAAGAATATTCACTGGGGCAGCCTGGGGAGGGGATAAAAATGTAAACACTCAAAATAATACTTTGTTTATTAAAATCAACATTGAAGTTGATGGAAATGGCTATTGCTAAGCAGGATAATACATTGATAATCAGCAACACTTTAAAAATGTTACTGTATCAAGAAGACCTGCAATAGAATTGAGATCCGAATGAAACATTCTGATTTTGTAATCGACTTCATACTTGTTTTTCCAATTTATCTATCTTTGTAAAGCCATCTACTGCCTATTTCAGTTGGTTACAACAATACTTTTCCATCAAATTAGCATTCTTTCTAAAACAACATCCATATATATGTCAGGCTCTGTTGTATAGACTTTAGAAGCCCAGTGCTGAAGGAGCAGAGACTTATGTTTTAGGTAAAAGACATGTACTTAAAATAATAGCTATGCTTTGATATAACCATGTTTGTTAGCATTACTCCTATACTTTTCAATTCATACATCATACACTCTTTTGTTTACATGGGCAATATACAATTTAAATAATGCTATAGGAACACAGTATAGTTGAGAAGTTTCAAATATTTTAAGGTACCAATAATGTAGGTTGTGATATTGGAAAATAGGAGGTGATGCTGGAAATAAAAGTCAGGCCTCCAGTATGAAGAGTCACATGCCATGTTAAGAATCCATCTTATGAGAGGAGAAAAGAGTTTTAAGCAGAAAAGTAGCATGCTCAAGTCTATTTTCTGGAAAGCTAATTTCAATAGTGGTATGGGAGATATTTTGGAGGCGATTCTAGAGACAAGAAGACTAATTTAGAGTCCACTGTAGTCATGTAGGGCAATAGAGGATGAGGGCTTACACTAATGTGGAGATGATGAAACTAGAAAGAAGTTGATTTATTCAAGAGACATATCACAAGTAAAATCAACAAAATCCTTTTTCTGACTTGATGTGGACAGTCAGAGGAGGGGAAAATGGATTGCACAACTGGATGAATAATGGTTTTGCCAGTAGAGAATAGAGGAAGGTGAGTCAGTTTGGGAGGAAATATGATTTAAATTTTGGAAGTGTTTGCAAGGTCTGGAAGATATCCAGGACACAGTAGTTTTTCATAATATATGAATAAGCTCTCCAACAAGACAGTAAGTTTCTTTAGGAACTTTTGGAGTAGGTATTTGATAAATTATAAACCCTTACCTCACTCATGTAGAATTTCTCTTTCTTTGTCATCCTCCCATGGACAAGTTGTTGAAAGGAAGCTAATCTTTTGGCATCTGTACACTTTGAATGTTTGTATCAGAAGGAGAGTTGCTTGCTAAGCTACTAAGTTACAGGAGAAAGAGCATGAACTTTTGAGTCTGACAGACCTAGGATAAAATCCTTGCTCTGTAACTTACTAGCTGTGTGACCTTGGCCAGATCACTTGACCCCTCAGTGTCCCAGTTTACCCCAAGGAAGACAGGGACAAAAATCCCTCACAGGGCTGTTGTGAAGATTAAATAAGATAACATAGGTAAAGTGTTGGTCACATAGTTATGTGTTACGTATCCAACAGATGGTAGCTATCCCCATTATAATGAAAGGGGATATGCTGCCAGTTCTATAAATAGCGAAGCAAATATAAATAACATTGAGAAGTTCCTGGCAATCCATCTAAATACTGCCATATTTTAGTGTGCTTTATATGTACCTGGTTAAGCCTGTCTAGAGTTACTGTGATTTTTCTCACTTTATAGATGAGGAAGCTGAGATCCAGGAAGTCAGTAGTTAAGGACTTTCCAAGTTCATGCTACTTTTGGAACACTTGTCAACAGCAAAATACTGTTCAGTTGTTTAGTTACATAATGAGTAGAACTAAAATACTCTAGTAAGATTAAAATACAGGACTAATATACTGTATGTTTCCTTCTGTTACTCCATTTACTATTTTTTTTCTGATTATAACAATAGTATGTATTCTTTATGGAGCACTTGGAAAATGCAAAAAAGTATAAAGAAGAATATAAAAATTACCCACCACAGTTAACATGTTTTTACCTGGTGTTTGTGTGTGTGTGTGTGTGCGTGTATCTTCTATATGCACACATGCACACACAACAAACATAATGGGACCCTACGCTTTTTATTATTAGTAATCCTTTTTCATTTGGAATTATATTTTAAACACCTTGCAATTTCATTTTATATATTTGGAAATCTAAGCTTAATGGGCATATAATGCTGTATCAACTTAAAAATTGTTTTATTCTGTTTCTTAATAGTTCTATCTATGCCAAAAAGTATTGAATGAATTATTTCTGAGTAGGAGCTCTTTCTAGAAAATTCTTACTTTTTTCTTTATCATTTGCCTAGATGATAGAGAAAAGTGATAATTTCCTTTTCAAAATTTCATCCAGAGCCTCTTTAATTTCAATCCTGATAGATTTCAGTAACAGAGCACAAGTAACAGTTCTTTAATGTTACTATTATAAATAATTGTAACAAATTTTAGACAAGTAGACAGTTTATGATAGCCTGAGATTCCTAGAGAAAAAAACATTTTTCTTAGGTGATATAAATGCTGTGTTGCACTAATCCTTTAAGTGAATTATTTTTCAATGTAAAATTACAGAGTGTACCTCTTATTAAATTTTGTGTATCACTTGATAGTAAAACAACTGAGACCGGGCACAGTGACTCACACCTGTAATCCCAGCACTTTGGGAGGCCAAGATAGGAGGACTGCTTGAGACCAGTTTGAGACCAGCCTGGTCAACATAGCAAGACCCCCATCTCAATTTATTTAAGAAAACAAAAAACAGCTGAAAGATACGAGTAGTACTTTTTAACTAATGACATGCAAAATGTACTTGAAGACCTAAAAGTTTCAAGTAGAATGCATTATTAGACTTTGGGGTCATAGAAGAAAATTTTAATTTATGAAACTAAAGCTAACATGATCCATAATAAAATGGATCGGTTATCCATTTGTGGTAATGCTTTCAACAAATTAGCCATTCAAGAAAGTATTAGTGATTGTTTTAGTAATAATTACACAGTCCATTCTAAACCTCAGCAAGTGGCCTAGAGAATCTGCCTGTAAAGAAAGGTGTACAAGCATACCTTACTTTATTGTGCTAGACAGAAGTCACTTTATTGCACTTTGCAGATACTGCATTTTTTTACAAATTGAAGGTTTGTAGCAAAGCCAGTCTATCAGTGCCATTTTCCAAACATCATGTGCTCACTTCATGTCTCTAGGTTACATTTTGATAATTCTTGCAATATTTCAAAATTTTTATTATTATAATATCTGTTACGGTGATCTGTGATCAGAGATTTTTGATGTTATTATTGTAATTGTTTTGGGGAGCCATGAACCACACCCACATAAGGTGAGAACTTAATCGGTAAGTGTTGTGTGTGTTCTGACTGCTCCACCAGCTGGCCATTCCCCTGTCTTTCTTTCTCTTTCTCTTTTTCTCTCTCTCCTCCCCCCACTTGGGCCTCCCTATTCTTTTAGACACAACCATGTCAATATTAGGCCAATGAATAACCCTTCAGTGGTCCCAAGTGTTCAGATGAAAGTAAGAGTTAAACATCTCTCACTTTAAATTAAAATATAGAAATGATTAAGCTTAGTGAGGTAAGTATGTCAAAAGCTGAGACAGGTTGAAAGCCAGGCCTCTTGTTCCACACAGTTAGCCAAGTTCTAAACATAAAGAAAAAGTCCTTGAAGAAAATTAAAAGTGCTACTCCAGTGAACATATGAATGATAAGAAAGAGAAACATCTGTATTGCTGATATGGAGAAAGTTCTAGCTCTCCGGATAGATGGTCAAACTAACTACAACATTCCCTTAATCCAAAGCCTAATCCAGAGAAATGCCCTAACTCTCTTCAATTCTATGAAGCCTGAGAGAGGTGAGGAAGCTACAGCAGAAAAGTTGGAAGCTAGCAAAGGTTGGTTCTTGAGGTTTAAGGAAAGAAGTTATCTCCAAACATAAAAGTTCAAGGTGAAGCAGCAAGTGCTGATATAGAAGTTAAAGCAAGTTAATAAGAAGATCTAACTAAGATCATTTTTGAAGGCAGCTACACTAAAAAACATTTTCAGTGTAGATGAAACAGCTTTATATTAGAAGAAGATGCCATTAAGGACTTTCACAGCTAGAGAGAAGTCAATGCCTGGCTTTAAAGCTTCAAAGGACAGGTTGACTCTCTCATTAGGGGTGGATGCAGCTGGCAACTTTAAATTAAAGCCAATACTCATTTGCCATTCCAAAAATCTTAAGGCCCTTAAGAATCATGCTAAATCTCCTCTGCATGTGCTCTATAAATGGAACAACAAAGCCCAGATGACAGCACATCTGTTAATAGAATGGTTTACTGAATATTTTATGCCCATTGTTGAGACCTACTGCTCACCAAAAAAGTTTCCTTTCAAAATAGTACTGCTTATTGACAATGTGCCTGGTCTTCCATGAGCCCTTATGGAAATGTATAAGCAGATTAATGTTTTCACAGCTGCTAACACAGTATCTATTCTGAAGCCCACGGATCAAGGAGTGACTTTGACTTTCAAGTCTTGTTATTTAAGAAATACATTTTGTAAGGCAATAGCTACCATAGATAGTGATTCCTTTGAT